TGCTGAAGGTTTCCTGCAAATCTTTTAAATGGTCCTCTGCTCGCTAGGACTTAACCAACATGTCGTCAATATAAACTTCCATTGATTTTCCTATTTGTTCCTAGAACATCCGGTTTACTAGGCATTGATAAGTGGCACCAGCATTTTTTAATCCGAATGGCATCACGTTATAGAAGTATGTGTCGTACTTTGTGATGAAGGAGGTTTTTTCCTGATCATTAGGGTCCATCCGTATTTGGTTGTACCCGAAATAGGCATCGAGAAAACTGAGGATCTCGTGGCCGGTCGTGGCATTGATCACGCGATTGATGTTGGGCAGAGGAAAAGAGTCCTTGGGACATACCTTGTTCAAATCCTTATAGTCTACACACATTCTTAATTTGTTCCCTTTCTTAGGGACTACCACTACGTTCGCTAACCAATTCGGGTATTTAACTTCCCGAATGGACCGTATTTTAAGGAGTTCAGATACCTCATCCTTGATGAAAGCATGTTTAATCTCGGACTGGGGCCTCCTCTTCTGTTTGACCGTATGGAATTTCAAGTCCAGGCTTAGCTTGTGAGTGGTTATCTCCAGTGGGATCCCTGTCATATAAAGATGGGACCAAGCGAAACAATCTTTATTACTTATAAGAAATTGAATGAGTTTTTTCCTGAGCTCGAGCTTAACCCCGAGCCCAGGTATACCATTCGATCGAGCAAGTGTTCTCTCAATATGACTTGTTCCAGCTCCTCGAACGCCGATTTAGTGGCATCGGAATCATCGGGGGCTATAAAAGATCTGGGAACCCCGTAATCATCATCCTTGCCTTCCCCTCATTTGTCCGAATCTGCCGAAGCTGGTATCAGTGATTGCTATTTGGCCCTATTTTTGACCTTCTGGTCCGGATCCTTCGATGTTGATATTGTAGATACCGGAATCACCTACTCGACCGAGAACATTTCCTTGGAAGCCGGTTGTTCACCATAGACTATTTTGACTCCGCTAGGTGTTGGGAATTTTAGTACCTGGTGCAGTATCGAGGGAACTGCCCTCAGGTTGTGGATCCATGGCCTTCCGAATAAAGCGTTGTACCTCATGTCTCCTTCGATCACATAAAATTTAGTTTCATGGATGATCCGGTGGTGTTTACTGGTAATGTTATCTCGCCCTTAGTGGTTTCACACGCCATGTTAAACTCGTTTAGAACTCGGACTGCAAGCACGATTTGGTCTTGTAGACCGAGTTGCTCTACGACCCTCGATTGGATGATATTGGCAGAGCTACCTGGGTCAATTAACAAACGTTTAATTCGGGATTTATTTACGAGTACAGATATTACCAGTGCTTCATTATGGGGCTGAAAGATTCCTTCTACGTCCTCGTCGTTGAAAGACAAGGTTCCTTCCGGTATGTAATCTTGAGTCCGTTTCTCCCTTATGATGGATACTTTGGTGCGTTTCAACATCGGCCCCTGAGGAATATCAATCCCACCGATAATCATGTTAATGACGTGTTGAGGTTCTTCTTGCTCGACCTACTTGTTAGAATCCCTATTCCTTAAATGATTTTTTGCTCGTTCATTTAGGAATTCTCGAAGATGCCCATTGTTGAATAATCGGGCAACTTCCTCTCTCAATTGTTGGCAATCCTCCGTTCTATGGCCGTGAGTGCCGTGATATTTACACATCTGGTTAGGATCCCTCTGGGACGGATCAAATTGTAACGATCAAGGCCATTTGGTGTCCTTGATACGTCCAACAGCTGATACGATGGCGGCAACATCAACGTTAAAGTTGCATTCTGATAACCTCGGTGCTTCCTTAGGCCCGACGGGCTTGTCGAAGCCGTTTTTACTCATGAGTCCCTAACTGTGTTGATCTTGATCATTTCTCCTTTCGCCTCTTATGAGATTTCTCCCAGATCCGTTACCTCTTCGATCCCCATTTTACGGTTGATAATGATCCCTGCTTGATCTTGGTTCACGGTCGATGTCTCTCTTGGCTCTATCAACAGTTCTGACAGGATAAACGGACCCCGAAGGGGCCCCAAGTTGATCATCTCCGACTCTGATTTTCGATTGATACCGGTTATGTATGTCGGCCCAGGTAACGGCCGGATATTAAATCAGGTTCTGCTTCAACTGCTGTGAAGCCACCAAGCTTCGAATATTGAGTCCTAGAGTGAAAGCTTGAACAACCCAATTATCAGCAACCGGCAGTAGGTACATCCGTTCCATTTGAAACCGGGACACGAACTCTCTGAGCATCTCGTTATCCTTCTGTCTTACTTTGAAAAGGTCTGATTTCCTGATTTTGACTTTGATGGCCCCGGCATGTGCTTTTACGAAAGAATTCACAAGCATAGCAAATGAATCAATAGAATTAGGAGGTAAATTGTGATACCATATCATAGCCCTTTTTGACAGGGTCTCTCTGAACTTCTTCAATAGAGACAGTCTCGATCTCATCATCCTCCAAATTGTTCCCTTTGATGACACATATGTAAGAGGCCATATGCTCATTTGGGTCGGTCGTTCCGTTATACTTAAAAATTTAGGGCATGCAGAATTTCTTAGGGATCGGCTTTGGAGCCGCGCTCGGAGGAAAAGGTTTTTGCACGAACTTTTTGGAATCCAGGCATTTCAATATCGATGGTGCTCCTGGGATCTGGTCTACCCTGGAATTGTAGGTTTCAACCTTTTTGTCATTATCTTCGATTTTCTTCTCCCCTGATTCTATGTGTTTTGTCAACTCTTCGAGCATCTTTATGATCTCGGGTGTTGGCCCGTGATTTATGTTCATTCGACTTTTCTGCGACCGGTTCATCCCTACGGGGTGACTTCCCGGGGTGGATCGGGTTCAACTCTGCTCGGTGCTCGGCTTTGGTTTTGTAACTGAGCTATCGCCGCCTATTGAGCCTGTAGCATTTCGAAGATCACCCGTAAACTGATCCCGTCCCCTCCAAAGTTTTGTGTATTTTGAGTTGCCGATTGGGCTTCACCACGGACGTTATTCTCGGGGTTAGTGGCAATTTTGTGTCAATAGCCACATGTGAATTAGCGTCAATTAGGTCTCCAACCGGAATTTCGATGGGATCAGCGGGTGGTACCTCGTTACCGGGTGCTACATTGTTATTTTCACCGTGGTAACCGTACTCGTTATCAACATGTAGGGATGCTGATTGAGAGTTCGATATTTTGTGTTTTAACTCGAAATCCGAGACACATCAAAGAGCAAGCGTAAAGTAATGTGTGTTGTGGAGATTTATATCAAATAATCACTATTATCCTTAGCCCCACGGTGGGCGCCAAACTGTTTACCCTCAAAATCGGATAACAATTGAATTTGTAAGTGGTTTTAAGGATACGTGATCTATCTTGATACAAAACGATAAATTAGATTATAATTGAAATAAGTAATGGAAAAGTAAATGCAAACAACACAAATTAAGCGGTCTTAGCCCTGAAGAATTGACCACCTCGAGTCCTGGTGCTTCGATCGATATCAAGACAAGAGAGACGAGAACTTAAGGAAAATAATATTAACTTTAAGTAGAATAATAATGTATTGCTTTGGGATGCGAGTTACAATGTCTTTTACAAGTAATTAGGCCCCCTTTCTATAGTAGGAGAATCCTACTTTAGGTACAATTTTATAAAAGGTAAAAATCTTCTGGTTTGCTAATTTGCCGGTTCCTTATTGATACGTGCCGAGATTCCCACCGTGATATCCGACCGGTTACGGATATTTCGGCCTTCCGTTATTTCGGTCTTCTGTTGGTTATACCGGCAATGTTTCCTCCAGCTTATTCAGGGCCAGGGTCGATTCCGAGATCATGGACTTAATGTTCTCGAGGACGGACATTCTGACCTTGTGTTCTGGTTCGATGAGACTCGGGGTCGATCTTTAACCCCTCGCGTTCCGAGCCCGATCAGTCATGCAATAGTCGAGACCAATTTCGACCGTATACAAAATTGCACTTAGTTATCTTTTTATAATATAGTCTAATTGTGTAAATAGTAGCTTTACGCCACAAGTGAAATGTAAAGAGATTAATCTTGCAGAAATTAGAAGACCAATTAACCTCAATAAATTAACTTGAAAACGAGGTGATTAAGAACATACTCTCAAGTAACCTTAGTACATACAGAAGCCTTTTTTATCAGAAAATGAGCCAGAATAATGAAGCTCATCTGCCACAATTAATAAATAGTAGTGCAATTTTAGGAACTATTTACTTACTAATCCTATCTTAAATACTAGTAATTCATTAATTTAGAGATATAAGCATAAAGAGGAGTATATGTTTACGTTAAAAAAGCTGGAAGTAATAATTCTAATACTCAAAATTAGATGGGTAATGTAAGCATGGTAATGGTAAAAAAGACAAATAAAACAAAATAAGCTAACCAATTAGCTGTGTAGTGAAAAACGGCCACTTCCGTATACGAGCGCAGTAGCTGTGCAGCAGCAACATAATATTCCGCTTCTTTCTTGCCATTTGCATTCTTCACCACTACCAGCTAGCATGGCAGCTTCTTCTTCTTCAGCTCCAGCTCCAGAGATTCAACCTGCAGCTTCTTCTCCCAATAATGTCCAAATAACATTTCAAGTTTTTAGAAAAGAACCACATTATGAGAATTTTGCTTACGTGAACAGCAAGACGTTAAAGCTTTTCCCTCTTCAGCTCTTGAAGAAGAGATTCTTAAAGGATAACAAGGTTGCCTACGTTGCACAAATTAATGACAAGCTGGTCCTGCAAATAAGATATCCTTTTATTTTATTCATTCCTTTAATTAATACTCCACTCAACTACACTTAATTATGTACATGTGGTTTCTGTTGATTTTTCTATTAGCCTTAGCCATGGTTATTAAGTACTATTTCACCACTTTTCATGATCTGACGTGTTGCTACCTGCTGCCGCCATGAAACTAGTCTACTCTACCTAGATTTGCCTTTTCAGTATAGTATACTGCTCCATCTTTTTTGTTTTTATTCTTTCAAAAAACTCTAGTTTCTTCTATTGATTTGCTGCCATGGGTTCTGAAGCTGACGGTTCCGTATTCAGCCTCCTCATCCCTATATTTTGTTTCCGGGATAAAATCGTTCTATATTTTTTTTTATTGTCTTTTAAGCTTATTCTTTCAAAAATATTCTCTACCTATTTAATTTATTCTTTCAAATTTATTTACTCCCTTTATTTGATAATTTGTGCTTGTATTACTCCACTGTCACACTTGTTATTTTCTTCTCGAGCTAATTAATCAGTGCCACATTTTATTTTGCTCTTGAAATAGGGTGTAATGTTTTTCTTCGCAAAGTACAATAATTACTCTTAAAATCGTTTACAAGTTCTTTTAGCTAAGTTGTAATGGATTTTCAAGCTTCTGGAAGTTTTGGCACCGTACGTCGTACCTATTTTTGATTTTGTTAATTGATATAAAAGTTGAAATATAACTCTGAAGGTTCTTCTTCCTTTTATTTGCATTCTTTCGATATAAGACTTGTTTAATTATCTCAATCATCCTCAGGGGTTTTTAGTGGATATTGATCTTTTGGAAACTGTATGTTTTATATTCATTACCCATTCTGATATGACTTTATCTGTGTATTGGGGTTGTGATTGCTTTTGCCCTTTCTAGCTGCCATTTCTATCAATAATGGAGTAGTTTTTTAATTTCTTCAAGTGTAGTATCAATTCTTTTTTTTAGCGCATAAGATAAGCTTTCGTTATTAGCATATAATTGTTCACTTGGAAGAACATGCAAAGAATTTTAGAGGGACATCTGGTCTTATTCTATAAAAAATGGACTTTGGGGGAAAATTGGTTATAATACAGTGGTGAAAAAGAAATTGCCTTTGGGCTTGTTGAACTAGGACAAAATGGCAGGGGTTCATGTTTCACTAGATAAGATACTTTTCATTTCACAAAATAGGATTATTATTGTTATTCTTGAAAGTTCAAAAGCTCTGAGCTAAACTTTACTGTTGCTCTTCTTTTATTAGTATATATTATGATGGAGATTAAGAGAATGCAGATAGAGCACAAACAATCCACGTCGTTTTCCTAACTCTTTTAGTTTACAGCAGATAATTCGGTTCCAGATAACCATGTTGCTATTAATTATCTCCACGCAGATTTTTTGGATCTGTTGTATGGAGAAGTTGTTCGTTTGAAATCGTGAGTTTCAGATCTATATAGTCATTTTCCTTTTAAGCAGCCGAGTTTAATTTTCTTGTTTGAAATCTAAAGCTCCATCATTAATTAATGACAATATTTCCGTAGGTTCCCTATCCCTCCACCTCCAGATTTGGAATTAAGCACACTCGGGCTAGAAGTTGAAGACACTGGGAAAAGACCGATTACGGTAATTTTAGTTGCATCTGATGTACTTTAATAACGCTTATTTTTTTTCTTGTAGTAAATTATAGTTGCAACTGATTTGTACTTTAATTACTCTTGTTTATTGTTGATGAAGTATAGCTAACGATTTTGGTTTTACAGGCTTCTCATCCACATATTACAAAAGATTTCCTACAACAATTCAAGGGACAAATCTTCTGTAAGGAACAATTGCTGTTTTTCGAGCACAGAGGCGCAAGGGTACATATGAGAGTGTCATTTGCCACTCAAAAAGCTGGGAATGCTTGTAGAGGAAAACTTGTGAAGCAAACAGAGATACACTTCTTCGAGTCCGATTTATTTAAGGTGCGCATAGTGAATTAGAACCAAAACCAATAGTATTATCTTATTTAAATGTTTCCTTAGAGTTGAAATAACTTGAGATTTTATCTCTCTTTCTTGACTGTATGTGGATGAGTGCTCCCTTAGCAAAATGAGCAATGATCTGTTTGTTAATACTTCGGTTCATTGTTGTTTAAGTTGATTTCTGAGTAAGCTAAATAGATGAAAATTCCCCTGCTTTCTCTAAAATTATCTTTCTGTGGCCTAATGTTTAAGTGAATCGTGAACAAAGTTTTTCATTATATTTCAACTTTCTCCAAACTGATTCACTATGCATCTTTAATGATGGTTATATTTATTAGATGCTTGAATATGTGTTTCTCTCATTCGTTGTATGATTAGTCATGATCGTAGAGCGATGGCTCCATAGCATTGTTCCACTGTATGTGTTAACTATGCAAAATTAGTTCTTTTAATTAATCTTACTTGCTGCATATCTACCCTTTCCAAAATTATTTGTATGTACATTGTTGTGCACGTGAAATTATGACGGTCTCTTTGCTGGAACTTGTGTTGGAGTTTGCTGCCCGAAGGAGCCAAGATCAGCCCTTTCTAAGATTTTTGATATGCTGACCTTAAGAATTGTTAATGGATTATTCTGATAAATAGTATGCTTCAAGAGTTGTTAAGATTGTTATGTCACATCTCATACAGGAATTGGTCATAACCTCAACTGAAAAAAAAGTAAATGTACTCCCAGTATGCCCAACTTTGATATAAGTTTACAGTAGAAATCATTACCTTAAGGGGAAAACTGTGTTAGTTCATTACGAGCTGTTTTTCTATAAATCTGAATGTTAATGTTCTTAGCATCTAGAAATGAGAAGAAGATAACTAAAAGTGACACTAGAAGTTGTAATACAGATACCCTTCACTAAACATACAGTGTTAGAAGAAATAATTCTAACATTTAAGCTTGAGAAAAGAATTTCCGGTACATTTTTAGCTGAGTTTTTAATTGCTTTTAACAATGTGGTCACTCACTTTTTTTCTTTTTTTTTCTTTATGTTTAGGTTAGTGATCAAAAAGAAGTCAAAATGATTTTAAGAAGAGACTTGAACATTCATGATCTTGCGGCTGAAATGAAATCCTTGGGAGTTGGGGGATTCGGGAATGAACTCAAAGATGTCTTCTCTATGCTGGTTGTCCCTCGCTTTATACCACAGGAATATGCCAGAGAGTAAGGGTTTTCATCTATTCTCCATTTTAATTTAAAGTAGACTTTGCTAGTGTAACACAATATTTATGTTTGTTCTTTGCAGGGTTCGCTGCAAATATAAACAAGGGATAATATTTCATGGGCCGCCTGGAACTGGAAAAACGCTTATAGCACGAGCCATATCAAAAATTGTCAATGGAAAATTACAGGTTTCTGAATGCTTTTATTTTAGGAAAATTCTTTCTTCTCTTAGTTAGTTGCTTTCTTTAAAGCTGTTGCTTTTGTTTTCTCCAGATTGTAAGAGGGCCAGAAATATTCAGTAATTTTATGGGATCAAGCGAAGCCAAGATAAGAGCTGTTTTTAATTCAGCCATTAATGATCTTATTGAAAAAGGTAAGAATATGATTTGTGCTTTAGTTTAGTTTGTAGTTTTTGAGTCATTGTCCCATCATTGTTTATCATTTAGGGGTCGTTTGGTAAATGTATTAGGGAAAATAATACATGTATTAACTTTGGTATTATTAATTCCTTGTTTGATAGTAGTATTTTTCAATCTATGTATACATAGTATATTTAGTACTATTCTTATACATAGCAAACCATGATATTAGCACTACGAATAATTTTTAATACTTGGATAAACATGTATAAAGAACTGCCCTAATGTAATGTTTATTAAATAGCTTAACTTAGCTTATTAAATAGCTCAACTCCAGTGTAAATGTTAAGTAATTATATAGCTGCTATGACAGTTCTTCAATTTCTCTTTTTAGTCGTCTAATTTTGGGATTCTATCATATTTTTATTTGTTAGTTTGAGTGTAGACTATTTATTCTTTTGGTTTTCGTGCTCTATAATTATATAATATGGATCACTTCATTTCCAATTTATTGAGATGACAAAATTTTCCCCAAATAGTTTAAGTGAGAATACCAAGCTTTTTTTGTTTTTCGTTCTAAGAATGAATAACTAAAACATTGCAAAGAAAGTATACAAAGGTAAAGAATGTGCTGAGTATCTTTGTAAATAAATAATTCTTAAAAAAATTATGATGTTATTTTTAATATACCAAACAAATAATCCAACATAACTAATCCTTACCCTGTTCAGTACTATTCTTATGCATCCTACCAAACGACCCCTTACTCTATAACCATTATCTAAAGCTTATTCCCATTTCTAGTGTGCTTTGTTAATATGGTATATACATTCATCATCTCACCCTCACATCGACATCTCCAATAATGCACAAGCATTATCCAACTACTGTTTGTTCAAATGCCTTTGTAACTCTACCTATTTAGACATAATGAGGACAGTCGTGTATATTTAGATTTATTAATTATGCCAGCTAATGATTGATGATCTCCTATAACGATAGCAATAACTTGGCGTGCTTATTTATGTAATACAATGTGTTTTGCACTTCGTTTAAAGTGGCGTGCTTGGTCATGAAATGACACATTATTTTCTTCAGGTGACAAGAGCCCTCTTCATGTGATAGTATTTGATGAGTTAGATTCCATTGCAAGGGTAAGCATTTCTGAGTTGTTTAGCTTTTGTTCTACTTATTTGACATCTCTTATCTTTTTAACTTTTGGCTATTGACATTAGGAAAAAGGAATAAATCCGTCTGACACAACAGCTGATAGGGTCGTCAACCAACTCTTAACGATGGTTGGCCTTAAACCCGCTACTCCTCTGTGCCACCCCTCCTCAACTCTATGCATTTCTTAGCTTTTGCTTCTTAATTTTAAGTTATGTTATGTCTAACTAATGACTCTTAATGATATTAGATTGATGGCTATAGCGAGCTAAGCAACGTTTTGCTTGTTGGGACAACAAACCAGCTAGAGTTGATTGATAAAGCATTGATGAGGTACTTTACTTATTCCAAATAGTTTGAAGTGGAGATGCTTTAGTTTTATTTTGACATGTAATGAACTAATAGTAATATTATAGGCCAGGAAGATTTGAATTGCATATGGAAATAGGTCTTCCAAATGAAGCTGGACGAAAGGAGATTCTCAGGATTAATGTCAAAAGATTACAGTGGAAAGGTGCATTAAGTTCAAGTGTGAACCTTGATGAATTAGGTTAGTTTAACAATAGTAATATTTTTGTATTTTAAATATTTTGCTGTAAATTGTTTTTAAGTGTTCAGGGAATATATGCTTAATGTGCAGCTAAAGAGACAAAAGGATTTAGTGGAGCTGCTCTTGCGGCGTTGATACAAACAGCTTTTTTCCTCGCTGTGACTCGAGCTGTGCCAGAAAATATAGCTGACACCGTTTGGGCAGATGCTAAAGTTGAACAGGAGGATATTGACAGGGCATTTGGCAAACTTAAACTTACAGGGGTAAAATCTAAAGTTGTGCTTTGCTTGAAAGAATCAATTAGGCCAAATACATACGGAGCCCCTTAAAGTTGGCACACTTTCATTTTGACACTTAAACTAAGGCATATTTCCATTAGACACTTCAACCTTAGTCAATTTGTACCTATTAAACACACTAAGATGAGATGGCCATAAAAGTGTTTCTCACATTTCTTGGGCGTGTGAAGTGATTTGATATTATTTTTTATCTTTGCTTTTAAAAGTTACTGTTTCTAAAAACCACGGCCACCATTTTTATGATCTTCTCTCCTCCTCACTGGTTAGCCGGAACCTCATTGCCGATGAAACCAAGGCTCATCCCAGTTTGCCACATTAATCCACCAGTTTCTTACTACTTCACCATCTTCAATAGATTCCCCTCTTTCACCTTCAGTCATCTTAGTTACTTTCTTCATCAAGAACACACCACCAATATCAGCCGTGAACTACCACCCAAATGGATAACACCTTTTTTTTTTCTTTGGCCAAAATATTGCGTAAACTCTCAGTTCTCAAGGGTATCAAAATCTACTGCATTTGGAGGAATCAGTTCCTCTGTTTCCTTCGATGGTGTTTGGTCAATTTTTTATAAAGCATGTTTCCGGCAACAATTCATTGATAACAACTGAATCAATTGGCTTCATCCACAATATATCAAAGAAATCTGTACATTTACTCACTATTCAGTTTTAAGGAAGAAGGTAGGGCACTATGTTTAGAAGAGGGACGATTGATTTGGACTAGTGGGAATGAGGCTTAAAGAGGACCATTACTGTACACCAAAAGTTTTGAAGCTAAGAAATCGTTTAATGTTGTTTCGGTGAAGTAGCTTAGATCGAATTGAGCAATACTAATCTTTATTTGCTGAAAGTACTGCTACATGTGAAAAGAAAAAGAGGGACAGCAACTAATTATATATGAAGCCTTGAATTTGCTATGATGTGATAATTGCATTGGACATATATAAACCTTGTCAATTCCCGCTTAGGTGATCAATGAAGATCTAGTCAAAGCATGAAATGTTGATATTCTATTATTTTCAATGCTTCACAACACCCTCCCTCCCTGACTAATATAGTACGTATCATGAACCTTGGGTTCTGAAGAAGTAATATTGTGTTAGATGCGGTTAGTGGAGCTTATTTGTCCATTTTGTTTGTACTAGCTGCGTATAATTTGATCTTTATCATTTGTAATAGAGATGAGTTTTATTTTGTAAGCGGAATCTTACTGTAAATAACTTATGCTGTGTGTGTTATTGCAGAGGACGGATTGAGCGACTGCAGGCTTGAATACATCAATATCCTAACATTCAGGTTGAAATGGTTGTAGATCCCTTTGCTCATGTAAGACTTACAACATTGTTATTACGTTAGTTTTTGCGACTTTTATTGCTCCAACATCTTGCACCACATGTATTATTGTTGTCAGCTGTGATGACTGACTGAAGCATTGGTGTATCATTTGAAATACTTTAACTGCAAGGCTGAAATGCCATGGATATGTGGTTTGCTTAATTAGTATCTCTCTTTCGGAAAGTAAATGAAGCCTCTTAGTGGTTAGTTGTATAATCATCTTCACTAAATTCAAAAGGAATGGTAGTTCTTTCCCAGTAATTCTCAATTTCTCATCACTAGGGGGACCCAATTGTTGGCTTCACCCACGGTTTCAGATGTTGTTGAGGCATGTATAATGAGTGTTCTTATAATTCCTTGAAAGGAAAGTCTTCATCTTTTTTCCAACAAACGAAAATTCTTCAGTTTTTTTTTTCCCCCAATTGGGGCGAAAGGGTTTTGAAAGAATTTAACACGTAAAGTTCCCTAATCCACTTCGCAACACGTCTATGTTCTTATTAACACGTAAGTAGTTTGCTTTGATCCCAAGCCAAAATATCAAGTGGTCATTGGCTCTGTCCCATCACTAGGTAAGTTTTACAAATGGTTATATAATTATGATTTTTTTTCACCAAAGTCGTAACTTTGTTTTCTCACACAAAAATCATATAATTATGACTTTTTTTTTCCATCAAAGTCACATAACTATGTTTTCTAACACAAAAATATAATACTTTTACTAACTCACACAAAAATTATAGTGATCGAAAAATATAAATTTTTGTAATATTTTCTTATTTTAAGATTTTTTTTTTATTTCTAGTCTAATAAATAATAATTCAATTAAAATAGGAATGACTCAACCTGACCTGGTCCCCCCAACCCTCTATATATATATATATATATATATATATATATATATACTAAAAAAGAATAATAAGTCCTTTAATACATGATACTTCTATCTTTTATTTTTCTTTTCAAGATTTTTATTCAAATTTATAACATTTTTATTTCAAGTACTCTCTAATTATACCTTTTATTTCTTTGTTTTTTGTCAGAATCTCATGCATTCCGAACTAAAGTTTTTATGGGGGAAGNAAAAGTCATAGTTATATAATTTTTGTGTGAGAAAACAAAGTTATATGACTTTGGTGAAAAAAAATTATAGTTATATGACCATTTGTGAAATTTACCCATCAGTTATCCCAGGTAAATAAGAGTCCGAGTTCATAGTTAGTCTTCCTCCTACCAATACCATTTTACTCATGTCAGATTTAATCGCAATTTGTCATGATTAAATAATTTAATAAGATAAAAATATATTAATTAATCACGATTAAGTAGTACAGGTTCATGTATAAATATCACGTATTTATTAATTTGATTTAAGCATCTCCAATATTTTACCTCCCAATAATTCATCCAAAATGAAAACTTCTTCATATGCAAGATCCCCCTAGTGGGATGGGAAAATTGTATAGATGGCATATTATGGATCGTGGGAAAGGAAGACAACATCGACCTATATAAGGTGGGATAAATGGATCAATTAATTCATCACCTACATGTCACGACTCAATTTTTCCCGTTGGGTGTGGGACTAGGTAAGCCTAACGTTACTGATTAACAACAATAGTTAAATAACATCTAACAATCTTTGAAATGGAAATCTCTATAAAAATTTATAATTTTCAAAACTGGTAGTACAAGTCATAAGCTCTACTGAGTTACTAGAAAGCTTACAAATACAACTGATATGAAGTAGAGATAAAACAGTGCAAGTACAATATCAGAAGGTGACTCTGAAGCCTGCGAACGCAGCACCTTGAGTCTCTACAGCAAGATTCGTACAGCTAGCTAGCGTTTAACTGACTCCAAATTACCTGGCTCTGCACAAAAATATGCAGAAGTGTAGTATGAGTACACCACAGTCGGTACCCAATAAGTATCAAGACTAACCTTGGTGGAATAGTGACGAGGTACAGTCAAGACACTCACTAGTCAAATAACCTGTGCAATATAGCATACAAAAATAATATAAAACAAATAGCAGTGATAGCAACAATAGTCAACTAGTGATATAAACAGCAAGGCAACAAGATTATCATAAATATTGCCCAAATGAATAATGAACACAAGCACAACCAATTAATCAAGTCCTTCTAAATATACAACTTTTATCTACAAGTTTTTCGAATAAAATCTTTAGAGCACAATCCTTTCAAATAAATATCTTATGAATAAAATTCTTTCAAATATAATTCTTTCAAATAAACTCTTTTGAATATAATCCTTTCAGGTAAAAGTCACCTTGTGACACCTTATTTCAAAATCATAAAAATTACGGGTCTCAGTCCACTTTTATATTTTTACGGCACCTCATGCCCATATCTCTATCACAATCGCATACACAACTCACGTGCCAATATTATCATCATTTACTCGCGGCACCTCGTGCCTACATTTCATAGCACAATGCACTGACAGTTCACAAGGCATACAACATAATAATATATACATCAGTAAAAACCAGAAACACAAATCCTCTGAGTCTCGTACGAAGAGCCAAAGCCAACACAATACAACAAGGAATACAAAACACATAATAAAATCAAATAATGCATCACGGAAGAGCACAAGAATTTACATATCACGAAAAATAAAATAACTAAAGGCAAGTGCAGCCATAGAGAAATATCAACAAAAGGGCACTCCCGAGGTACCGCCTTGTAGTCCCAAATCATAAATATCGACAACAACAATGCCCCCAGGCCATCACAAGAAATCGCAAATCAATCTCCGACATAACCCACCTTGTCTCGCCATATGCGCAATAATAAAGTAAATGCCTGCCTTGTCTCGCCGCACGCGCATAATAATATTCCCACCTTATCTCGCCACATGCGCAAACCCACAAATATATATAGCCCACCTTGTCACGCCGCATGTGCATATATCAATAGTAACAATAGCATGGCATAAACCTCGTGCAAACAGCCGAACAAACCTCCCAACAATGTCACGACATCTCATAAATTGCACCACAAGTGCTCAAATATTACAACTTGCCATAGAAATTAACAATACATTATTTTCCAAAATAAGGAGCCCATGGCTCGACTATAATGTGCACAAAATCTTAACAAAATATCCGGGAGTGAACCACTCAATAGAATAATATTTCAAAATTTAACACTTTGCCTCCTTTTAAAATTATTAAATAAATTATTTGCAAATGAATAATCCAAAATGAAATTATCTCAAGAAAATATCAACTCAACAAAAATACGGGATTCATATAACAATCAAGGTGGCAATCATACCAAATCATCATATAAAAATAAATTCAACAAATAAGGATTGAGGTATGACAAATAGAGGATTTAATAAGTGCCAATAATTTCTAATTTAATCCATAAGGGTATCTAACAATTCTAACCGATATAATTTACACATATAAACCAAGTACGTACTCGTCACCTCGCGTACATGATTTTCAATTACACAATTTTCATATAAGACTCAATGCCTAAGGGGTAGTTCCCCCACACAAGGGTAGGCAAGATACTTACCTCATAGAAGATAGACCGATACTCAAAAATAAACTTCTCGGGTGAAATGACCTCCGGACGGCTCAAATCTAACCACAATAACTTCAAAGCACAAATAAAACTCATAAGAAACTTTTCCGGATCATAAAGCCTCAATCTTTTTCAAAATCTAAAAATCGACCCAAAAGTTGACCCCCGGGGCCTGCACCTCGGAACCCGATAAATTTTATAAAATCCGAACACGCATTCCGATACGAGTTCATCCATACTAAAATTATCAATTTCCGATACCAATTCGTCCCTCAAATCATGATTTTTCATTTTGAAAAGTTTTCTTCAAAAACCTCCATTTTCCTCAACTCAAAACACAAATTAAATAATAAAAATAAAGATAAAATCATAGAATATAATAAATTCTAGGTGAAGAACACTTACCCAATCGATTTGCTTGAAAAACCCACAAAGAATCGCTCAAAAACCGAGCTCCACAAGCCAAGATATGATAAAAATGGCCTAACTCTCGATTTGGAAAATTTTTTCTTGCTGCCCAGGTGATTATGCATCACGAGCGCGGAGGAATAATCGTGTTCACGAAGAAGAAAAAATGAGGCTGCCAAGAAGACCCTTCGCGAACGTGAAGAACAGGGAACGAGTACCTACGCGAACGCTTAGGGGAACACACGAACGAAGAGTAATGACCACTAGTGCTCAGGGCCTGATTTCTACTATGCGAACGCGGAGGAGAGGACGCGAACGCGAAGAAGGAAAAAAACAGACCTTCGCGAACGTGGTTGCATGAATGCGAACGCGAAGAAGAAATATAAGGCGAGTCAGCAGAACACTACGCGAATGCGAAAGGCACTTCGCGATCGCAAAGAAGAACAGAAAACAACAGTTAAAAATAGGAGGAAATGACCCGTAACCCATCCGAAACACACCCGAGGCCCCCGGGACCCTGTCTAAACACACAAACAAGTTTTATAATCTAACACGGACTCACTCAGGGTATCAAGTCATATCAAACAATGTCGAAACTACAATTCGCCCCATGAATCGAACTTATGAACTTCCAATTCATTCAACTTCAAAAACTTGTGCCGAAACCTATCAAACCAACCCGGAATGACGTCAAATTTTGCAGGCAAGTCCCAATTGACACAACGGAGTTGTTCCAACTCTCGAAGTTGCATTCCGACGCCGATATCACCAAAGTCAACTATTGGTCAAACCTCTCCACTTTCCAAACTTCAACCTTTTCAACTTTCGCTGAAATGCTTCAAATCACCCTACGGACCTCCAAATCCAAATTCGGACGCACGCCTAAGTCAAAAATCACCATACGAAACTGTTGGAATCATCCCAAACCCATTCCGAAGCTGTTAACACAAAAGTTGAATTCCGGTCAACTCTTACCGCTTAAGCTCCCAAAACTTAAATCCTTCTTTCGATTTGACTCCGAATTATCCGGTAATTGAGTTCAACCATGCACGCGAGTTAATACACATAATACGAAGTTGCTTAAGGTCAAATGCAGCCGAATGGGACTTAAATTCTTAAAATAACCGGTTGGATCGTTACACTACACTTCAAGAAACTAATGTTAACACCACCAAAAAATATGGTGCAGCAGATGAGGCTATTCTTCCCTCAACCAGAGGTTTCACGTTCTAGCGTTGGGTATGGAAAATCCTT